GCCACCCGTCTTTAGGGCAAGGTTCTCTGACGCAAGGTACCGTCATGTGATCGTAGTGTCGTAGCTAAAGTGGAAATTGTCCGAACTTTTGAGCCATCTAAAAGAAAACCTGCTTTTTCACGTTTTTTCTCAATATTTTAAAAATCACAAATTTTCTTCAGCATATAAATGACAATAGCTCATTGCCAAGTGTTAAAAGCAATACCTTTTGTTATTTAAGTAGAAGAAATGAAATGCTTTTTCTCTTTTCAGAAAACAATACAGCATTTACCAGGTTGAAGGCAGCCAGAAGCATCAGCAAGAACTCATTTTGCTCTCTTTGAATGAGTGTGACTTCCTAATATTGTTACGGCAGTTAGAACAAAGAACCCGGAAATGCCTATTTCGTCGTAGCTTGGACTATGCAAACGGTGATTAAGATTGTTAAAATATAAACTTCAAACTCATATCAAGACTTAGTATCACTGGTCTGATCTGTATCTTTCTTCATGATGTTAAGATGTCGCATTGGGAAAAGCGTAGCTGCTGTTGCAGTGGTTACAGATAGCAAGTTCCTGTTTTCTGCCACCGATCTTCTCAACGGTGAAGTGCATCCATACCTCATGAATTAGCCCTAACGTTGCAGAATCTGCTTGCACACGGATTTATGAGCGGACTTCTGCCGCAGGTCACAGAAGTGTAAGAGGGAGAGTCAAAACTGAATAATAACGGCTACGAAAACATCAGAAACTGCCCCCAAAATGACCACACCAGATCACTCCTGAACGACGAAGCTACGCTGTGGACTCAAGCTAAGCTGACGCTGGAGGAGCGGACTTCATGTGATGTCGATGGCAAGTGGTGAGCCGTCCGAGAGAGTTTTTGTATCATGTGCAATGTTTGGTTTCATGCTGAACGCTGTATGATGCCTAAGCTTTATTTCTGTGCGTTTTACCTTACGAAAATTTTGGCCATTTTGACCAAATGCGCCGAAAAATATAGTGTTTTTTTCCCGAAATTTTCCCATTTTTTTTCTGCACTTTACATCTCAAGTCACAGCATGTTGATTGCTGCACCCATGTTTTTAGTGGCTGTCTTTGTGTAGAAGAGCCCTAAAGTGATACAGGAAGTGCAACTGCAATGAAAAATTATGCTATTACAAATGTATTCATGCCATTATTGCTGTTAACTGGCTTTTACCAACTCAAAAAATGCCAGAAACTGCAGACTACACCCACGTACCATCGGCATCATGTGAAATGCGAACAGCGGCAAGTATTGCAAATTGTGTAATGCTCTCCATTCAGTCATCACCATTGACAGGCGTGCATAAGTTCTATTCGGCAGCACTGCACATGTCCGCGGTAATGACTGGATGGGGCGCACTAGACAATTGGTAATGCCTGCACTGTTCGCGTTTCATTTGACGCAGATAGTAGTAACGCTCCTTCCCGTTTGTTCTAATGATCACAAACGCAGTTCAGCCGCGATTTGCCGACAGCTATTTATTTTCATTTCTTGCTCATTCCTTTTGTTTCGCTTTGTTGCTCCTACCCGTGAGCATGTTGGCAGCAACATCATCCAGGTGTAGTCTGACTTCAGTAATGTCAACGTCGTTAAAACGAGGGAGCCTCGCATTGATTTGGCGAATGTCACCCATGTTCTGCCACTGTTCCAAAACAAATATGGGGCTTCAATGGTTTTTATCGCATGGTACCTTTCTTCTCATTGGTACTCTGCCACCTGCTCTTCAGACACGTGCCGCATTCCAGGGGTGGTTTGAGTGAAATCGTATTGCTCTGCTCTCACTGCTATGCCGTGATTCTCTTCACGGGATGGCGCCACTGCTCAACCTCTCTAAAACGAAAATGCGATTATTAAAAATGAAAAACTCTAACACGCTAACATAAACAGTATTCGGCAATGGGACGTCGTCAACGAAAACAATGCTTTGCTTCCGTCGGCTCAAGCCAGGCTTCGTTCGCAGAAAGTTGTTGCCACCCCGAGAGCATGAGGGATTCTTGCAGACTCACTGAAATGCAATCCTTCTTCTACGTTGCGATCTTAACTCCAAGGTTAGGTTCCAAGTCTGCAACCACATTCATCGTGGCAGTCATGAAAGCCGGGGTATCACTCCGCCGTGGCCAAGCAGCGGCTGATAGCATGCACGGTGACGTGTGATGGCACTTTCTAATTGGCTGAAAGCGATCTGATTCGTGACGACATGCCTTCAGCACTTAGTCTGTTGTGAAAAAAATGAGAAAGAGATATTTGGTGCCTACTTTATCTCCTCTGATAACTTATCTTCTCACCCCCAACCAGTACTGTACACATTCTTCAATGCCCCTCCTTATTCTACCTAACCTTCATCGTTCTCGTTAGCGTATCTTTACAGTCCGTTCGGAAACCTAATCAGGGGAGTTACACCAAAAAAGACGAACTACCTCGTGGAGAGAGCGGATCAAGAATCTCGCTGCCGGCTCTAATGAGACTGGTAAGCTACGGTGACACTTCATTTTCTGCTAATACAGCACAATATTTTGCATTTGTGCCACATGTGAATGAATTATGATAGCTACATGAGATGGTATCAGCGTAAAATCTGGTGGATATAGACTACTGAGAGGGCACAAAACACACACAAAAAAGCTGAAATATTTAAAATACGTAGCGTTGCAATTTAAATATTTTCACTATTATTGGATCGGTCATTTTTGAAAGGGCAATGGGATCGCTCAATGGAAACCTACCTCCAAAAAGACTAGAATCGGGCCAATCACTAAATATATAGTTTCGTTTCACAGTTATGCATCAGCACATGTTGACTACAAGGGTTACCTCGAGAAAAAAAACGCTCTAGACAAAAAATTTCTGTGTAGCGCATGACCACAGCTATGACGCAAACCAAGCAAAGAAAATGCAATGAAGACAGTCATGTGCGGGCCGGGATTCACTGGTGAGAGGTCCACGGGCTGCGTGTTTGATACCCCGGGTCGAGAGAGCAGCTGATAACGAAAATGAGTGACTGGACAGCGACAGCTGCTTTTGTAATGCGTGTGTACCATGTTATCTGTGAAATACAAAGAACCACTTTTTTACAATCATTGTTCACAATAGAAATTTGCACTGGCGTGCTTGCTAATTTCATGACAACAGGGTTTGCCAGAACAAATTTTCGAATTCTAATAGCATTGACAAAAGTATTAGGCGTAATATGCAAATTGAGGTGAGTGCAATAAACACTTTGAAACAATACTTTTTATGGTGAAATGATAAAAACCCCTTCCATGCCAACTTCGTCGTTCCCCTTTGTGCGGTCGCTTGTAATTTACGAACTTCGTATATTTCGTTAAAACTAGACAATTGACCGCCAAGGTCCATTTTTTCTTTCACATTTTTTTGAAACCTTTCGGACTTCTGGTACATCGTATGTGGGCGTGTAAGTCGGCTTTAGTTCACTCTAGCGGTCATTCAATGAAGAGGTCGCTCACTCTTCAGAGTGAGTGACCTCTTTATAGACAGATGGCTCTTTGATGCGAAGCAGCTTAAGGCGGGGGCATTGTCTCTCTCTCCTTCCCATTGTGTCCACACCCCAACTGTGCATGAGCGTCCCCTCCCCCTCTCTCTCTCTCGATTTGGCGGCGAAAAAACGCTGGTAACACTGAGTGACCGAGTCAGACGATGGTTGCCGAGACATTTAAATTCGTCCATCATGTTCTTGTCCACGTTGTCATTCTTGTGGTAGAACAGAAAGTTAGTCAGAAGAGAAAGTCAGTCAGGTTAAGGTTCTGAATATTGGTGCACCTGCTTAGAGCGACGTACATGAGTTTCGGTGGTGCCGTTCACCTTCTCCCCGCTGCTTCGCATCCACACAAGGTTCCCTTTAGCGATAGACGCCGTATTTAGTTTTGCAAATTTACTGATTATTTCAAACAACATTGATAACAATAATAATCACTCTAATTACCGTCACGTGGAGCGCGGAAATATATTTGTCGCGGGTGCTGGCCTATCTAGTTACGCCACTGAGCACACATGCCTACAGCATCTTCGCCTCCATCGAAAATGTGGCCGCTGCAGACAGCATTTGATACCGTGACCTGTGGGTCAGCAGCCGAGTACCTTAATCACAAGACCACCATGGCGGGGCACCTTGAGCTTTAAGGACAGTGAAATATCTGGGAATGTATGATTGCAGAATTCCTGTCTAAGCGTTCGGCTTTGGTCTTCTGGCTCGGAGACACGTATGCGAGGGACTACCACGATTGCGTCGTTTGTGTTGTCTGCGTTGCAGTGCATGCAAATTCACGCCATACGCATGAGTGTGGCTGGAGTTCACGCCGTGGAGGCGGCGGTATCCCAAGGGATCCCCGCCGACATCCTATAAAACAGCGCAAGGAGTCTTCATCCGTTTTTTGATAAAATAAAAAACTGGCCTCGAAAGCCGTACGCTTCAGAGGCCATCCTTGTTCGCCGAACTTACTTTTAATGATTGGGCGCCTCTGTTAGTAAGACAGCGTGGGCTGGTTGCCGATTGCAATTTTTTTTCTTTCGCCACACTACTAATCATCAATTTTGTTTTCAGCGTAACCGATTGTAGCTCCACTCTAATTCATTGAGGGCTGATGTCATTATTTGTGTTAAGTATTTATTGAAAATAGTCGATATTTCATGTGTCACAAATGTTTCATGCCACAGCATATACTGCAAGCCACGAGTAAGTATGACTGATTTATCTTTGAACCAGTTCTACTTTATGGGCGGTAACAGCGCATAAACTCACGGGACGAAGAGAAGGGACAGCGCTTGTTTGTTTCCCTTCTCTTCGTCCCGGGAGTTCGTGCGCTGTTACTGCCCATTTTGTATCACCAACTAGCCCAACTACCAGTCCTACAACCAGTTTAAATAAATTATCCCCTGTGTTCAGCAAGAGCAATATCACTTATTTATATCCTCTCAATAGGTTTCCAAGCATGTATTGTATAAATAGTATGCCAGATTTCATAAGAGTGAGAGCATACCGTGTGTGTATTCCTGGCAGGCACGTATCGAAGCCTCGTTCCAGCCGCCGCCAAAAGTGGCGTGTGCCGCTGCTGTTGGTGGCGTCCCCTAGTGACCACGATTGTGTTATCTTCCAGGTCTAATGCCAGCGGTTCACGGGTCACAGACCGGTATCGGCTAGTCCTCAACCCCGGAAGTGACTGTGTGCGCCGCGGAAGCTGCGGCCGGCTGCTACTTGGCTCAGGGCTTCGGAACGATGACTGCAACGCCGCTGAAGAGGTGTCACCCAACTTGCGTGCACGAAGACGTTCCTCTCTCGTGGTGGCCTGCGAGTAGCAGTTATCGTTTTTATTGGGTACAACAAAGTTCCCTCTTGTTATGGGAGAACAAAGGCTCTGTTCACTGCGCTCTCATACCAACTACAAAGTAAACACACAAAATGGTGGCGTCCAGTACTACATACGTCACGCACTGTGACGCACACACACACACACACACAAACACACACACACACACACCACACACACACACACACACACACACACCAGTGTAGCCAACCACAGGGTCTTTTTGGGTAATAGCGCGATTTTCTGCCTGCATAGGGTGCAGGTTGGCAATGTGATTTTCTTGAAAAACGCATGATAATTTTTACGTTTTGCTTGTCGTCGATCAAGAAAAAATGTGGACAATTTGTTATAGCATATGTGAACCTTACTGTCTTAAAGAAATCCAGAAAAGCTCACGATTTAAAATTAAAACAGGGTTTTTTCACATGCCACCAGCATACGGCAGGGACGAGAGATATGTCATAGTACCCTATGCTTTCATTCTTGTGTTTTTTCTCATGCGTGTTTTTTTTTCTTTCTCCATAGGCTCTAATTTATTCCTTGCGTAGAGTGGTGCTTAAATTTCTATGACTTTAAACGTGTCACCAACACGAACCGGTGGTTTCTTGAACAAAGACTTTCCTGCACCTATTTCTATCTCGATGACAGCGCTCGTACTTGGTACGAGAACAGAGAAGGCAGTTTGTCAACATGGAGGGCGTTTAAAAGAGGGATGATTGACATATTTGCCAATGTCGACCGGCACAAAAGTGCACAGCATTTAATGGAGCTACGGGTTCAGAAACTCAATAAAATGGTCGCAATGTTCGCTGAAGACATGGCCCGTCTCTTTCGGAAAGCTGACCCGCACATGACCGACGACAAAAAGTTACGCTACCTCATGCGCGGCGTTAGAGCAATTGTTCGCCGGACTTTTGTGCAACCTCCCAAGCACCGTGACGGATTTCATCAAAGAAGCTGCGGCTATCGAGCGGGTGCTTCACCTACGATGCCGACTGTATGATCGCTTGTCCAGCAGTGCTCACATTCAAGTCGCCGCTGCACATCTAACAATCAAAGCTCGTTGCGCAATTTAATACGACAGATTGTTCGCGGAGAGCTGCTGAAACAGCGGACTCTAGTCACGAAACCACCCACGGCGTCTGTTGCTGAAGTCGTCCGCGAAGAAACACGCCAAGCGTTTTCAACAGCTGATCCTACTCACGATCAGCGACCTGTCAACTACGCAGCCACGCTTTGCCGCCCGCCGCCTGTTGCGCCGTCGTACCGCAAGCCATCCGCAGCCGTTCTTTGGTCGCCACCGCAAGAACAGACACCGCGGTGCCCTGCCGTCGTGCCCCCGTACGAAATGCCGCCTTACAGAGAGCTGCCTCCCAACGAGACATGGCATTTGCCACATTACGAGCCGTTGCGGCGTCCTCAGCTTCGTAAAACAGACGCCTGGTGCACCGTAAATGGACGTCCGCTTTGTTTTACCTGCGGAAGTGCGTGCCACATTTCCCGTCATTGCTGGCACCGCGTCGATACGTTTCGACCTCTTCGGCAATGGTCTGACGATCGACGCGCCAACGATGTCTATGCACCACGCTGGGACGCTCTTTCTCAAGGACCCCCCTTGCCTTGGTCCCAATTTGACAACCACTGTGCCAAGAATAACGACAGTGTGCCTAATTACCAGTCAAGTTTGGGACGTCAACCACGCTCTCCGTGTCTGGCATATTCGCCTTCGTCGCGCCACCGCACTACAGCTGACGTCAGTAGAAGGAGGTCACCAAGTCCACACCGGGGAAACTGATGGCAGCGACCTCCGCGGGTGAAGTTGCAGGCTGTCAAGGCGACGAAAAAAGGCCCCCGTTACTCTTACCAAAGGACACCGTAAAGCCGACTAGTAGTAACACCGACAAAACTGTGACCACAGATCTTACCGTTTTTGTAGACGGACAGCAAGTTGACACCTGCGCCAACTTTTCTATAAGTGAAAACCTTGCGCGCGCCTAAAAGCAGGCGGCCAGCTGTTGATGCCTGTCGGAAAGTGTACAGCAAGACTCGACATCGGTGGCTCTTATTTTGTGGCAACGTTCATCATCCTCACCTCATGTTGCAAGGACCTGATCATAGGCATGGACTTTTTAAGATAATATGGTGCCGTCACCAATATCCCGGACCGTTCAGTTACGTCCCGCAACAGCCCTGGTTTATTTGACTGTTCAGACGCAATACGTAAAACTTTAGGTATGATTGATGATGATGTGGTCGTCCCGCCACGGTCATGCACTCTTGTTTCGGTGGAAGGGCACAAAGCGTTTGGTAGCGAAGGCATTGCCGACCGAATTGGCTCGCTGCTATTTAATCATGGTATTTCGGTCGCCCGAGGTATTGTCCGTCTCACTGGTGGACACACGAATTTACTTCTGACCAACTTTGGTGCTGAGCGCCGGCACCTTCCGAAGGGCATAGCTATCGTTTCGTACGACAATATCGTAAAAATGCGAGGCAGTTTATGTTTGTCGGTATTGAACGAAGCACCTAATCAAGAACTGAAACCCGTTCTCGACGTTGGCACCACTCTGTCAAAGCACAACGGACAGAGACTTCTCAAGCTGCTAGCCGAATTCCGCGGCTGCTTTTTATCGACATCAGAAGTTGGTCGAACACCTTTGACAAATCATCGAATAATCACCGAGGACACGGCGAGACCTATTCACCAGAACCCTTATCGTGTAGCTTTAAAGGAACGCAAAGCCATACAACAACAAGTCGCGAAAATGCTTGAAGATGGTGTCATTCAACCGCCATAGAGCCCCTGGGCATCGCCTGTAGTGCTACTAAAGAAAAAGGACGGCATTTTGCATTTTGGCGTGGACTACAGGAAGCTGAATCGGGTGACCAAGAAAGATGTCTACCCACTCCCACGTATTGATGACTGCCTTGACACAGTTCGGCACGCTCACTACTTTTCTTTTATCGACTTGAGGAGTGGATACTGGCAGATCGAGGTAAACGCAAATGACCGAGAGAAAACCGCTTTTTTGACGCCAGAAGGTTTATACAAATTTAAAGTCTTGACTTTCGGTTTGTGCTCCGCGCCCGCGACTTTTCAAAGGCTTATGGACACGGTACTTTTCGGCTTGAAGTGGAAGACTTGCCTAGTCTATCTGGATGGTTTTATAGTTGTTTTTAGCCACTTTTGACGAGCATATCAAAAGGCTGGAAGTTGTTTGTTTTACGTGCCATACGGTCCACGGGCCTAACATTGAAACCAAAAAAGTCTCATTTCTGCTTTCACGAACTCCAGTTACTCGATCATGTCGTCAGCAACGCAGGCGTCCGGCCTGATTCTGGAAAAATTGCCGCCGTCGCACAGTTCCCAGAACCCTCCAATAAGAAGGCTGCGAGACGCTTCCTGCGTCTTTTTGCCTAATATCGCCGGTTAATTGCAGACTTTGCCCACATCGCGTCGCCACTAACTTGTCTCACAAAAGACGACGTTGCATTTGAGTGGAACGAAGAACAGGAGGCATCCTTGAATGACCTGCGTCGATGGGTTCAAACGCCCCCGGTGCTTGCCCACTCCGACGAAGAGGCCCCGACGATACTTCACACAGACGCTAGCAATGTTGGTCTGGGAGCTGTGCTTGTGCAGCAGCAAGAGGGCACATAAAGGGCAATCGCTTACGCAAGCAGAACGTTAACACGCGCTGAAGCTAAATACTCCACGACTGAGAAGAAATGTATCGCCGTGGTATGGGCGGTTACGAAATTTCGCGCGTATTTATATGGCCGCCCCTTCAAAGTAAGTGGTGACCACCACTCACTGTGCTGGTTAACAAGTCTTAAAGATCCTACAGCGTGATTAGCGCGTTGGAGTCTTAGCCTGCACGAATTCGATATGGTAGTCGTACATAAGTCAGGCAAGCGACATATGGACGCTGACTGTCACGTTCACCCATTGAGTTGGCAACCCTACCTGAGGAGGAGGAAACGGCGTTTCTCGGTATCCTCGACATGACCGCCATTGCGCAGCAACAACGTGACGATGCTGAGTTGCTTGCCTTAAATAACTACTTGGATGGCAGATCTTAGAAGGCGCCAAAAGTTTTCGCAAAAGTGTTGTCATCGTTTTGCTTACGGGGTGGAGTACTCTACAAAAGAAACTTTTCGTCGATGAGATCCGCCTATCTGCTCGTTATCCCAGCAGCCATTCATACCGAAGTACTCAAAGCATGCCCCAATGAGGTGACCTCTGGCCATTTGGGTTACGCGAGAACGTTGGCCAGAATACAGCAAAGGTATTACTGGCCGAGACTAACCGCAGCCGTGAAGCACCACGTCCGTACCTGCCTCGACTGCCAGTGACGCAAGTCACTACCGACTAAACCAGCTGACCTCCTGCAACCCGTTCAAGTCCCAACAGCTCCATTCTACCAGACTGGCATGGACATTTTGGGCCCACTACCTACTTCTACTGCAGGGAACCGCTGGGTTATCGTCGCGACGGATTATCTGATCCGTTATGCTGAGACGAAGGCTATCCAGCGAGGTACAGCAGTGGAGGTGGCAAGATTTTTCACCGAGAATATTGTACTGAGGCATGGTGCTCCACCTGTCATGATCACAGACAGAGGAATCGCATTTACGGCAGCTCTTTTGGATCACGTCCTGATGCTGAGTGGAACAGCGCATCGTAAGACCACCACCTACCACCCACAAACGAACGGGCTGACAGAGCGTCTAAACAAAACCACTGAAGACATGCTTTCGATGTACGTAAACGTTGGACACAAAAATTGAGATGAAATATTGCCATACATAACGTCTGCGTACAACACGGCCAAGCAAGAAACAACCCGCATGACTCCGTTCAGCCTCGTTCGTGGAAGAGAAGTACGAACTATGTTAGAGACGATGCTACCACACGAAGGTGACGACATTGACCCAGACGCCAACACGTTTACGGAACGCGTGGAAGACGCTAGGCA